AGATTTATGTGGTTTGGTAGGCGTGTTGGTAAATTTTAAACAGATTCTCATCCAGTGCCTATAGAGAATCATCATACCCTGTGAAAATCTATACCTTTACACCCTGCTTTCAAAAGACCTTTGGGATGATGTTATAGAAAGGCACTGGTTAGGAGAAGGCTACAAAAACATTTCAAAGGCTGGAAAAGATTAGATTTCAGGCTTTATAACAAATTAAGTAAATATTTCAAATAACTGAACTGTACATAAATATCATTATTTAATTACTAAAATTATAATATAACTGCAGTTTTAATTGCCCCAATGTAGTTATGTGCACTACGTTATCTAACTGAGTAGTTTTTGTGTGCCAGATTGTCCACCTGCAGGTTTCCTGTGGCTCATTCCTCTCATTATGTTTCTGATGCTGTTACTTGGTTTGCTTTTGCTCTGTTGCTGGAAATACTGCGCCTGCTGCCAGGTAGATGCTCACACGTGCATATTAATATAGATTGTATTGTTTTTTTGTGAAGACACACACACACACACACACACACACACACACACACACACACACACACACACACACACACACACACACACATTTACAAACACACACAATCATTTGTGCACACACATGCACACACAAACACACACACACACACACACACACACACACACACACACTTACTAAATCACACTCATAGACAAACAATTGCTATCACTCACATACACACACACACACAGTTGAAATTTGTTGTGAGTGATCCTTTCTGTGTTGCTAGGGTGTTGCTATGCAGTTAATACAGTGTTGTGATCTTGTGTGGCTTGGTGGTTGTTTATAAAGTGTATTTGGGTGTTGCTAGGGTGTTGCTATGCAGTTAATAATGCTTGTTTTTGTTTATTTTAATGTGTTTTAGGTGGTTTTACACAAAGGGATTTACATATACATTGACTAATGGGGTTGCCAGGGGGTTGCTATGCACTCTTCAGACTCACACACTGCATGAGTGACAGCTGTCAGTCAAATTGCCGTGTTTGATCTTTAATATCAGAGCTGTTTGGCGAGACACTGACACACATCTCCGCATATTTCTTTCATATTTCAATCCTCCAGACGCCGCAGAAGCTCAAACGCATGCTGACATCCACACGAGCAAACACAGAGCGCTCAGCCTCGATCCGCGAGAGAAACATCTCCACACACTGTGAATCAAATCTGGATTATTAGCCAGTGTTGCTAATGAGTCACGGCTTTAATTAGAGGACAGAAGCTGAGTCTGCTGGAGGCTTTCAGTGCAGCTCTCAACATTTCATCAGATAGCAGCCGCTGTTTTGAAGATTGTTTTTACTGGGCTCTGAATGAAATGTGTGTGGTGTCGTCATGTTTGCCTGTGCAAAACCCACCATTATGATGCTAGCAACATTCAGCTGGTTGCCAAGGTGTTGCTAAGCGGTTACTAGGGTGTTCTAGGTTGTTAGTGGCTGGCAGTTTTTGATATACACTTACTGTCTGTAATCTTCTGTGTGATTCTTGCTGCTTTATCATGGTTGCCAGGGTGTTGCTATGTAGTTGTTAAGTTGACAGGGCTTTTTGTTTATTTGCATTATTATAGGTATGGCAAGATGTTTCATCCTTGTTGCTAAGGTGTCCTAAGGGGTTTCTAGTGTGTGTTTTGGGTGTTGCTTTGAATTTCATATTAAGTGTTCTTTAAGTGTTAAGTGTTTTTTAATTGGGTTACTAGGTGGTTGCTAGGGTGTTGCCCTGCATTTTTATGATATGTCTGAAAGCGTTAACTGTGTTAGATGTTGTTCTGTGTTAGATGGTTGCTAGGGTGTTGCAGCACAGTTGCTAGGGGGTTTTAGGTTGTTCCACAGTTGTTGTCAGGATGTTGCTATGCATGTGATGATGTGTGTTGTGCTTTTTTATTGTGTTACTTGGGGGTTGCTAGGGTGTTGCTATGCAGTTGCCAAGATGTTCTAGGTGGCTTTTAAGTGTATTCTCTTGTGGTTGCTAGGGCATTATTATGGATTGTAATGAAATGTGTTAAAGGGTTTAGTGTTTTTATTGTGTTACTAGGTGGTTTCTAGGGACTTGCTGTGAAGTTCCTAAAATGTTATATGTTGGTTCTAGTGAGTACCTTGTAGTTGCTGGTGTGTTGCTGTGCATTTGATAATATAATAATGTTGTGTTTTTATTGTGTCATTAGATAGTTGCTAGGGTGTTGCATTTCAGTTGCTAGGGGCGTCTAGGTGACTTAGTTTGTTCCTCGTTTGTTGCCAGGGTGTTGCTATGCCTTTGATGAAATGTGTTGTGCTTTTTTAGTGTATTACTAGATGGTTGCTAGGGTGTTGCAGTGCAATTGCTAAATGCTTCTAGGTGGCTTGTAGTATATTTATTTGTGGTTGCCAAGGTGTTGCTATTTCTTTGATAATGTGTGTTTTTTATTTTGTTATTATGTGGTTGCTAGGGTGTTGCTGTGCAGTGTTCTGGTTTATTTTTAGTGTTTGTCAGTTACAGAACCCTCAAAATGTCGTCTGAAGAGCATCTCACACACACACACACACACACACACATACACACACACACACACACACTGTTCAGCAGTGATTGTTCATTCAGCTCACGCAGGACAGTCTCAGATCACTCACACACACACACACACACACACACACACACACGCTCGAGTCTCAGTGGCGAATCTATATTTGTCCTCTTCCACAGAGAAATGAAAGAGGCATTCTAATGAAGGACAGGAAACGCAGCGTCTGGCTTCCTGTTTGCGGTGTTTGATGTGGCGTCAGATGTGATGAAGAGCTTTCATCTTCCTCACTTTCTCTTCTTTGATCTTTGCGTCTGTCTCCTACTGAAGATATAAAAACATCTCAGCTTCACCTTCCTCAGTCTTGCGTATCCCTTTTTTCCCATAATGCCCTGCATTAATATTAATGATCATGTAGATTCACCCATTATTATGCGCATATGCAGATCTGCACCCGGGAGGGAAATATTATGAATATTAAATTAAGCTTATCTGATGCTATTTTGAACAAACCTTTTATTGAGATGTAACGAAATCGTGATGATATAATACTCCCCAATCACATTTATGACTTTGTTTTCATTGTAAAGAGCCCC